ACAACCAATGAGAAGGCAGAACAGAAAGATTATTTAAACAGGGACACAGGAAGTACCTGCCTCTCTCGGGGAAGCTAGGAGCACTGCAGGAGGTAAGATTTTATCTCTGAGCTCTGACCTCTTGGCTTTTCTCTTTTACCTTGGCTCTGTGTTTCTTATTTTAATAAGACCATTGGTTACATCTACAGTCTCCTCACATCTTATATACCTTTCTCCACCCAGCCATCACATCCTGGGATTAAAGGTGTGTGCCACCACTGCCTGGCTGTTTTCTCTCCTAGAATAAACCAATCTCACATAGCCCAGGGTGGCCGTGAACTCACAGAGATTCAGATGGATCTCTGCCTCCCAAATGCTAGCCTGGTCTCTGTGTTTAATCTAGTGGCTTGTTCTGTTCTCTGATCTTCAGGTGTATTTTATTAGGGTACATGCTATATCACCACACACAACATGAATTGGTAGTGTGCAACTTCTCTAGCATGCCTAGTTTCACCTGCTTCCTGAATCATGAGCTTCTTCTTGTTTATCCTTAACGTTCTGGAGGCCCATTCTGTGAGAGCATGTTTGGTTCCCTATCCTCAGAGTCTCATTTCTGAAATGGGTTTGCTTCATGCCTATGAGAGCATTTTGATCAGTGGGATGGGAGACATTTTGATCTGGGATCCCACAGATCCTTGGGGTGGAGTGTTCTGAGGTACGATATCTTTAAATAGCCCATCTCAATATCTCACCAGTTATTAGAATCAGTCACCTAGTAGCAACCGGGTTTTTTTCTGAGCTTGCTGCCCCTGGTGGTGAGGATGGGCAGGCAGTGTCACCAAACATATCCCGGCCTCCCAGCCTCACTTCACCTTCTCCTTCTCAAGTTGCCATGTGGTTGCACATTTCATTTTCTTCTCCTTTTTAACTTTTTATTGATTCTTCATGGATTTCACATCCTGCATCCTGATCCCATTCATCTGCATCATCCCTTTGCATCTGCCCTGTACTCTTGCAAACCCCTCCTCCCCCACCAAATAAAATTTTAAAGAAAAAAATTTTTCATCGTGGAAGCTGTAGTGTGACACAGTGAACCACACAGTAAACCCGTTAGTCCATACATCTTCACTTGCAAGTGTTCATTGCAATGAGTCTTTGGTCTAGTCTGACTTCTACTACACTGTCAATGCTGGGCCCTCACTGAGAATCCTCTTGGATATCCTGTTGTTGCTCTGTGTCATGGAGATCCTGTTGCTTTGGATCTGTAGGACCAGGCCCTTCACATGCTCCAGCAGGATGGATGTTGGGGTTGGCCAACTCATAGCCCTGGTTCTGGGCCTGGGTGGTAGCTGGGCTGGTCAGCCCACCGGCTTTCCCTCATCATCACCACCAGGGAGCGCTCTGCAGCATTGCGCTGCTAGATCACCCAACTGCAGGCAGCAAGGGGTGGGGCGGGCTCTCCTGTTCTCACCCCTCCTATAGGCTCATCCACACCGCCAGGGCCAGCTCTACTGTGTTGCCCAGACCGGGTGCAGGTCCTCTCCCAAGTGCTGCAGCCGGTGAGTGCGGGTCCCCTGACCTCATCAGCCATTGCGCACCAGCAGTCGCAGGGTGCAGGGGAGCTAGGGAGCAAGGTCAAGGTGAGCATGGTGGTTATGAATGATCCAGGAGACGGAGTCAGAGGACAGCTCGTTTATTGAAGTAAAGATGCTAGCTTATATAGCTCAAGTCGGTTCGGGGGTGGGGGTGGGGGGACGGACAGGAGTACAAGGGAGGAAATGCATGTAATTTGCATATGTGGACCTGATTGAAGACAGGCAAACATTACTGATGCACCAATTCAAATACCAAAGCATGGTGGGTGGAAGTCAGCGAGGAAGAGCTACAGCGGAGGCGGGGACTTTCCAAGCTTATCAGTTAGGTTAGCAGTCTGCGGGTCACATGACTTCTGAGGAGTCAGCTCAGGCAGAGAAACAGAGGCTTAACTGACTATAACATGGCATGGCCTTTGTCTCTGTGGAGTTGAATGGGCCCATACCTGATGTGGTCAAGGAGCAGCCAACTCCTGCTGTGCTCTCTGAGAGCTGTCCAGGGCATGGGCAGTGCTCTGCATCCCTCATCCGGCCTGGGAGCCCCCAGGTGATGGGCCGGGCCATCTGTCCTGATCTCATGCCCCTACGCCAGCTCTCCCACCTGCCGCAGGCGGCGATGGGTGAAGCAGGGAGGCACCTGTCCCTTTCTCATGACACCACATGGCAGGTGAGGGGCGGGGCCAGCTCTCCCTCTCTCATGCTCTATCGTGCTGCCCAGGCGAGGTTCAGGGCCTGCTCTTCCTAGTGCTATAGCGCCAGTGAGGGGCCAGGCCGACTCTGTGAGGCCCTATCCTCACAGCCTTAGGTCCTAACAGGAGCAATGACATTTACACAGACCATGGCTGCAGCAGGGCCCCAGACTCAGACATGGATGGCCCTTGGCCACAGCTCAGGACCGGATGGTGCCATGACCCTGGGTGGCAAGCAGGTTACCCACACCAACCCTTTCCTCACCACCCTTGTCTCTCCAGACCCGCCTCTTTCCACGGGACATGATCCATTCTGCCTCTCTCTCTCCCACACCACACATATATTTACTCACCACAATGGTGCCTAACAGCCCATCCCACAGGCCAGTGGTTTGTTCTGCCAGGCTAAGGCAAGGAGCTTCAGGCAGGGCTGCACGTTTTCAACAAAATATTAGCATGTGAATCTTGACCTCTGATTCTGATTTATAGAGAACATGTGTTAACTAAAGTGAGTGTAAAATTATAATCTAAATAATTCTCCCCTAAGTTGGAAACAGGGTATCAAAGGTTTCTGGGTATTTTATGAGAGAAATTTCTGTCAATTCAACTTTTTAGTAAATTTGAAAAGTATTTGCATTCTTTTTGTGTTTAAAGGCACAACTAGAAATCAACATTTGATAAATACTATGCTCTGGTAATAAAAGACTAGGTAACAGAAGACGAAATGAATTTCCATGGGTTGTCAGTGACTAGCCTTTGAGTCTCTGTGTGGCAATGTCCTAAGGCAATGCTGAACCTTTAAGAAGTAGGATACAGTGAGCTGTCCATAGGTGATGAGGTGTTGCCCCTCGAAAGGATTATGGTATGTTTCCTGGGATCCTCAGTTAATGCTGTTTTAACTTTCTTTATTTAATTTTTAAAAAGAGGATAAAACGAGAACACTGGGCTGCTGAGATGGTTCAGCAGGTAAAGATTTTGGCTATGGTGCTTCCGACCTGTGTTCCATCCCTGGGATCCACATTGTACAATGAGAGAAATGGTTCACATAGGTGCAGTTTACTTTTCTTTTTGATTTTTTGTTTTGTTTTTTACTTTTTGGGTGCCTAACATCAGACTCCCAAATAAATACAGGAGACCTGTTCTTACTTATATTCTTACTTATAAATGCCCTGCCTTAGCTTGGTTTGTTTCTAGCCAGCTTTTCTATAACTTAAATTATCCTGTTTCTCTTTAGCTATGTTATGCCTCTAGGCTTTTTACATTTCTTTATTTTAGACATCTTTCTTTACTTCTTACTCCATGTGTGGCTGAGTGGCTGGACCCTGGTGTCCTCCTCTCCTCCTTTTCTCACTCCTCACTCTTCTCTCAAGTATAGATTTATCCTCCTATTTATTCTCTCTGCCTGGCAGCCCTGCCTAGCCCTCTTCTACCTAGCTATTGGCCATTCAGCTCTTTATTGGACCAATCAGGTGTTTTACACAGGCAAGGTAACACAGCTTCACAGAGTTAAACAAATGCAACATAAAAGAATGCAACATACCTTTGCATCATTAAACAAATATTCCAAAGCATAAACAAGTGTGATGCATCTTAAGCTAATATTCCACAACATTTCCCCCTTTTTGTATAAATAAAAAGAAAGGGTTTTAACTTTAACATAGTAAAACTATATAGCACAAAACAGTTATCAAGTAAGAATTACATTCACAATATTCAGTCCATTCACATTTAGCAAATTCAGAAAAACAACTTTATTATCTGTTTTATATTAGTGATTCCAAAGTTCTATACCTAATTTACTTTCTATCATAACTAAGGAAAACTGTAACTCTATTTAGTCTTTAACTCCATCAAATACCCCAGAAGGATGTATTATTACCTAACAACAGAGACATCTGGCTACCTGGACAGTCACCCAAAGTTCCTCTGCAATGTTGTGGCATCCATCTTCAGCCTATAGGCCAAGAATATCTGGTAGACTTTTCAGTGAAGTAGAAAATTTGAAGAACCATCCCACCTTGTACTGACAAAGTTCATCAGTTGCTTTCCTCTGTGTCCTGCAGAATGTCTGTCAGACTCTTCTACAAATAAGGAATCTGAAAGAAATGTACTGCCCTGTCTTGGCAAAGTTCAACAGCCTTTTTCCTTTGCACTGCACTGGTCCAGTCTATACAGCATACTGTCAGCAGTCAAGGCAAACTTGACTACTGACTTGCCACATTGAAGGCAAACTCCATATGGAGTTTCTTTGATGCCCATCATCCTTTTAGGAAATAGATTGGTGCTGCCAGGAGCAGATATGTCACACTGTCATGAAAAACCTCAGGTTCTTAAACATCTTAAATACCATATTCTGTAGGTCTTTAAAGTGTTTGAAGATCATCTATCACATATCCATTTAACCTTGAAAACATACCTAATATGATGACAAGTTTGATTATTATAGGTTAACTACTAAACTCATTTTTAAACTATACATTGTATTTTTAAATGAGCTGCATAAGCACAATACTCCAAAAAAGAGTGTATATATATATATATATATATATATATATTACTATATTATATTATAATAAAAATAACTTATATATATTTATAATATAACTTTATTATATTATAATAAAAAATAACTTTAAATTTGTATCAATATACCAAAATTCATGCCAAGGCAAAAAATATCTGAAATTAATAGTTGTCTTTTTATCCTGTATTCCTATATTCCCCTAAATGATAACAAACATCCATAACCCACCAAATAGCCAACAACCACCCACTCATTTCTTGGGAATGTGGGTGCTGTCTTCTCTAGACTGCTTCCTGTGGTCTGTGGGCAAAGGCATCTTTAGGGTTCCCCGAGAAAATTGAGATAATGGCCAAGTCCTGGGAAGACCAGCTATAATCTTTGTTTATCTATGTCACCTGTCAATATTCAGGAGGTCTCCTCAAATCCATATCAACACTGAAGGAATCCATAGCCTCTCATTTACTGTGAAAATAAAAGCAAAACTTCATCCCCAAAGCCATGCATTTTTTGAGTTCCATTTTAAAGTGAAGGCATTCATAAACTATCCAGACTGGTTACTTCAACAGTCCCTCTTTCAGTCCCATGCCTCTCAGTGGCTGTCTTCTCTTATCAGCAACTAAAAATTCAAAACCAACACAACACTATATACGATCCAGACTCCCCGGGTATTTTCCATTGTTATGCGGCCTCTTTCTTTTATATTACTTTTACTCTGTCTTTAAAGACTTTATTACTTTTAACTATTTCTTTCTTGCTATGACTGTCTATACTCTTTCTCTTTTCTTAAGCCTACTCACATTTTGAAACACAATGGAACCTGTTTAGAGGTTTTTTTCCCATCTAGACCTCTTTTACTGCGTATCTCTATTTTTTTTTCTGACCACATGTGCCCTTAAACTACTAAGTGGCATGGTTAGGACCTCTGCTGAAGAAGCTTTGGCAGCTGACTCCGTCTACTTTTTGGGTCGCTAAAAGCCAAACCTAAAGCTTATGGGCCTGGTCAGAGATAGGTGACCAAGAACTGCATTCAATCCCCCAGACCTGGAGTGTTGGTGCCCTGCACTACAGCAGGCATATTTTACTTAGTTTTTTGTTTCTACTTAGTGTGAGAAAGGCTGTTTAAATGCTCCACTGTGCAGCAGAGTTTCTTAAAGGAGCCGTACTTTTCCCCCAGTTTTCCCAGGCCCCAGGTGGATATCCCATTGATACATTAAAATGTAGGGGTTTTTGTTGTTGTTGTTTGTTTTTTTTTAATTCTTTGGCTGCCCACTACCCAGCTTCCAAATAAATACAAGACTTATTCTTACTTATGAATGCCTAGCCTTAGATTGGCTTGTTTCTAGCCAGCGTTTCTAAATTAAATTATCCCATTTCACTTTAACTATGTTTTTCATCTGTGCTTTTTACCTTTATTTTATATATCTTTCTTTATTTCTTACTCCATGTGTGGCTGTGTGGCTGAGTGTCTGGACCCTGGCTTCCTCCTCTCCTCCTTTTCTCACACTTCAATCTTCTCTCAGGCCTAGATTTATCCTCTATGGTAGCCCCATGCAGTGGGATGGTCTGAATGTCAAATCAGTTGCTCTGATTGGTCAGTAAATAAAACACTGATTGGCCAGTGGCCAGGCAGGAGGAAGTATAGGCGGGACAAGGAGGGAGGAGAATTCTGGGAAGCAGAAGGCTGAGGCAGAGAGAAACTGCCAGCTGCCACCATGACAAGCAGCATGTGAAGATGCCAGTAAGCCACCAGCCACGTGGCAAGGTATAGATTTATGGGAATGGATTAATTTAAGCTATAAGAACAGTTAGCAAGAAGCCTGCCATGGCCATATAGTTTGTAAACAATATAAGTCTCTGTGTTTACTTGGTTGGGTCTGAGCGGCTATGGGACTGGCGGGTGACAGAGATTTGTCCTGACTGTGGGCAAGGCAGGAAAACTCTAGCTACAGCCCCACCTATCTCTCTTCTGCCTAGCTATTGGCCATTCAGCTCTTTATTAGGCCAACCAGTCATTTTATGTAGGCAAAGTAACTCAGCTTTACAGAGTTAAACAAATTCAACATAAGAGAATGCAACACATCTCTGTATCATTAAACAAATATTTCAGAGCATAAATGAACATAACATGTTAAGTTAATATTTCACAGCACCTAGGTTGTCTTCTGACATACATACATACATACATACATGTAATTTTAATAAGAGAAAGAGTAGGGTGCTGAAGGAAATGGCTTAGAGGATAAAATATTTGCTGTTCAAGTATAAGAAGCAGAGTTTGCATTCCCAGTGCTCACATAAATGCCCCCCACCCACTTGTAATTCCAGTGCTCAGGATGCAATGACAGGGGATGCTAGAGCCATTTGAATAGCTACACTAGCTGATTAGTGAGAGGAACTAATCAAGGAAGACTGTCAACATAAGCCTTAGGCCTTCATAACTTATCCACACATGTGCATGTGTACCCATGTACACACATACTTTCATATGTGTTCAAACATGCATGAACATCACATACATAAACACATGCAAATGGTTAAGTAAGCAAATAAAAAGAACTAGGCTGAGTTGGGCTATAATGTAGTGATATAGAGTACTCATGTGCCATGTGTGAGGCCCTGGGTTCAATCCCCAGCCTGGGAGGCTCTTCCTGGTACGGTTTACTGTTCTGCCATGTGATATCACCTCCTTTCAGACATCCCCATTATGAGGGTGCCATTGAGCCATGATGCACTGAACACGGGGGAATGCTAGCTTGAGCTAGCACCACAGCATTTGGATTTTCAGCATCTTGCAAAGTACTCAACTTCAGTATTTCTCTACGGTAATAAAAAATGAATGTGAAAGATCACTAGGCACAGGAGCCATTGTACTTCAAGCAACTGGTTGTTAACAGAGAGAGAGATTAATAGACTCCTAAAAAGTTAGAAATCACAGTATTCTACTTCTACATTTTGACAGATGAGCCCAGAATAAAGAAGAAATTGTTGGAACTAAAAAGATGAACGGGTGGGTGAGAATTGCAGTTCTCAGTATATGTACAGTTTACATATATAAATATACCCTTGTTGCTATTTTGTAATATCCAGAATCACACAATATTAGAGTGAGAAGAAACCGTTGCTATCACATAATATAGCATCTAAATTTGCATGGAAGATAACTGAAGACTTAAGCGAATGACTGACACACGAGAGTTCCTAGCACGTAAAAAAGGATGGAAATGAGAGCTGCGTATTCTCACACTCATGTCAGTAATTTCATGTGGCACTGTGGGATGGAAAAGCCTGTATAATGCAGACCCCAGAGTGACTGTTGAAAACCTTATAATAATAACCTCAAGAAACAGATTTTACTGTTAGCCCATTTTACATATGGGATCATTAAAACTGGGAAAAATCAAGTTATGCATGTTGATATTACATAAATGAGGTGAGAGTCAATCTGCCTGCACATTGCTCATTTGTGACTGTTATTTCACATTGCAGTCTCACTAGTCAGAGTGATGTTACAGGTGGCCCTGAGAGCACCACGGTCAGACTGGGGTCAAGTCTGCAGCTTCCTGGCTATGTGATTCCGGGAAAATTACTTCATGTCCCCGTGCCTGACATGTCCTTTCCTGTGCTCTGCCTTACAGCCAGTATTTAAATACTCAATCAGCAGGTTCTATTGTTACATAGTTGAGGAGCAAACTCAAGCTAAAGCAGACCTCTGGCCAGTTGTCCTAGACACAAGAACTTCGGCTTCTTCACTCTGGTTTCCCTACAGTCTCTATCTTTGGGTTCTTCTGTGGTGAGAGGAAGATTTTCCAGAATTTCAAAGAAGCTCTCCTGCTGAGCTAGGCAGGCTTCCTCACATCTCCACACCAGAGCTTGTTTGGATAAGTCAGCCATTGCTTCTCCTAGGAGATAAGCAAAATTTTATAAAATGAAAAATATTAATATTGGAAGATGATTAGGAAAGATTGAGCATAAAGTCCATGTGCATGATCAGAAAGTCTGAATGACATTTCTAGCCTAGGAATGTTAGCCTAAGTTGCTGTTAGATCTAGCATCAAGACTAGGGTTGGGATTATTGTTAAGGTGACCCAGACCAACACATCATCAAACTCTCTGTGGTTCATGCTGAGGTAACATTTAAAAATTCCCCAGGTGAGTTGAATGCACATCCCAGAATGAGAAGCATTGCTTGAGTGTTACTGAGTCAAAAGAGGTCCTATGGTTGAGTCTGGAAATCTGTATTTCAAGGAAGTGTAATGACTGGCTGCGCTGAAACTCGCTGGTCTAGAGCAGGCAGCTCACCAATAAAATCTCTGACATCCATGTTTACAGTTTTGAAATCTAAAAAAGAAAAATCCACTAAGGGAGTTTTCAGGCATTAAACACATGGTAATATTTTGGATTCTAGTTTATGAAATTAAAAATAGCTTCTTGATTTTGCTCTGCACTGGTCTGTAAATGACATAGTAATTACAGTAAAAGAAGAGCTTGCATTGATATTTCCCTCTTCTGTTTTTTTATATGAAAACTGTGTGGAACTCAACCCTTATCATTCCAAAGAGATAGCACCAAAGTCACAGCCATGTGGCATGGAGGAAAGCAGCATTGATTAATGAGACTTCACAGACTTAGAAACAGGCACTAAATATTCATGAAATCCCAACAGTGCTTGCATGTAAGTTATAGCTCAGTGATCTGTAACTAGGTTATAGGGAAAATAATGATGTAAGCACATCCAAACACATGGAGCCTTCAAGGAGTTAAATTTCACGAATTTGGGTGTTAAGTTGTTCACTAATTTTTATTTTGAATCATAGATAAATTTTGATTAGTTGTTAATGGCTGGAGATAATCTGAAAGCTCCCAATGAAAAGGAAGGAAAGATTTAATTAACTAATCAAGAAGGTAAATGTGGAAAGGACATATTTCATGAAATTTTTCTCCACATTTTGTTAGTGTTAGAAATTGGGGCTGGAGCGATGGCTCAGTGCTGAGAGCACAGGCTGCTGCTGCAGAGGAGCAGGGTTTGATTCCCAGTCCCCACGTGGTGGCTCACAGCTCCAGTTCCAGGGCATCTGATGCCTCCTCCGACCTCTGCGGGCTCCTGCACATGCATGTGCTCAGCCACACATGTACACATAATTTTCTTTAATTAAAGGAAGAAACGAGAGGAACAGGCTGGAGAGATGGCTCAGTTCCTGCTCTCCCAGAGGACTGAATTCAGTTCCCAGCAACCTTGAGCAGCCTACAGCGGCTGTAACTCCAGCTCTAGGGGATTTAGTGGCCTCTCCTGGACTCTGTGCACACCTGCACACATGTGCACACAACACACACACAAATTAGAAATAAAAAGAAATTATTTTTAAAAGTGGTGGAGGCTCTAAAGACAAAGATACAAGTGAAAAAAGAATAAAAATTCTGTCATTCAGCAACTGACAGAATGCTGTAATGAAGAGAGAAAGTTAAAATAAGACTCTAGACCACACTTTAGATTGAATCCTAAGTTCAAGAACCAGTATGGTAGACTAATAGTGATCAAAGGAATCTTAAATTTCACTGAGTTATCTTACCAATTCTGGTCCCATTTCCATAACATAGTTGTCCCAATTTTACTTAACT